GCGTCCACCCCGTCACTTAACTTGCTAAAGCAAGAGCAACTCCAGCTAGCTAAGGCTAGCTTTCGTGACTTTGAATTGGAGTTGGGGAAGTCGGATAGCCTATAGCTTGGTTCTAGTGATTCTAGTGGCGGTCTCTTGTGGTTTTCCTGACGCCTTCCGGTATGTTGACACATCTGGTAGTAGAGAAAGTACTTAGCCACACACTCCAAAAGCATGTACCGTCTGAATGCCACACGCCACACAGAAGCCTAAGTGAAAAAGTTCACTGGGCAAAACGAGTACAAAGGAACCCAACCATGAGCAACCTGACCATGAAAGCCCTTCTAAGTGTTAAAGTGTCAAGTTTCAACTTTCACGGAAAAGGAAGACTAACATGGACCCTGAAAACCACTGGAACATCAACTGCCCAAAGGGTGGGAAAACCACAAGCCATAGGATTGACTCAGCTGCATTGTTGTTTGGCAGGGTGTTTCCATGTGTTTCCTATGATTGGGAAAAAACCAAAGACAAGTCCGTCCAGAACCTGGTTGTAACTCTCCTGTGCGATTGACGATGATGGTACTATGAGCAAACCATGCAAACCAATTTCCCAACGCCCACTTTCGGTGCCCCGCAGTGTTTCAAAGTCGCCTGATCGAATCCGAGCACGGTAGGGCCAGGGGCCATGCGCAGGAGATTCCAGCAAGTATAAGAAATTCATCAAAAATTCGAGCAGTTCGGAAAAGCTGCGGCAGAAAAAAAATCACAAGCTACCAACCCACAAACATTTCAATTGTTGGTTCCTTTTGGCAGTTGGCTGGCGTTTGCAGCGTTAAACCTTGTCATTTTGGAGCACTCGACGCAGGGGTCATCTTATTGTCATTTTTTTGCCACGCAGTTGAACCTGCTTAGGGTCAAACACAGAAGGTAGGGCCAGAAAAGCGCCCACTGCCACGATAGAATCTTAGAATGGCTGGCGGATAGCTAGAAACAGTGGTGTTGCTGCTCTTACACATCAAAGTTTGTGGCAGGAGGGGGGTGGGAGGGACAGAACTGCGTTTCCATGCCTACAAAAAGCAAACAAGCAAACAAACAAACAAACAAACACCATTCCAAGAAACCAAAGGAAACCAGGCAGCAGCAGCCAAATTAATCCAAAAACAACATGGTCATGGTTCCCACACGTGGCCTGCTCCACATTTTAACAATTCTTTCCTGCTGCTCCTTCATGCTCTGCCTTTAGCCCGCGGGTGGTCCACAAAAGGCGTGCTACAAGTAAGAGAAGTCACTTGTCGCACCGCCCATACGCATTCTCATATGGAATAGTTACTCTATAGCTCAACTGTTTGAGCATTCAATCAGACACTGGTTCACTGCTGCATTAGCATTTCCGCTACAGCAATAGACCTTAGCGCCATGGGGGACATAAGCGCCTTAGCGTCAGCTGCCTTGCTGAAAATACGCCGCTGCCCGGTGGAGGGAGTCCGCAGTTGCATCCCCATCGATGTGCTTCTCGCGCAGGTCGTGCAGGGACTGCGTGAGGAAGATCGACTCCGCTATGCTGCAAGTCGGGACCAGGCTGCAAAATGTCCCGTCGCCGTGGCTCAGGGTACGTGCTGCAAAACCTGATGTGCCATGATAGGCAAGCGTCCAAGGGAATACGACAACAACTGGTGGTTTGCAACAAGTTGTGAGTTGCAATGGGTGTCAGTGGAAGTCCAAGTAGCGGGGATTGGTGGAGCCGGGAAAGGTACATGGCCGGTGGTGGATGGCGGTGTGGTGGCAACGCGTGCTGGGCTGGTGGATGTTGGTGCGGTAGGCGTGCTAGGAGGTGGCGGGAGGCGTGCTGGGAGGTGGCGGTGGCTTAAGGAAAATCTGGCGTAGTGGCAGCTGCTGCCGGCTGAGCAGGCGGAGCAGGCGGTGCATATGGCGCGGATTGCCACCACACCCAAATTCGGGCAGAAAGTAGACAACCAGGCCGCCACACTTAAAAACATAGAAGGAATATGAAGGAACGTATAACCTGGGCCTAGGTGAAGCGGTTACTTTCCTGCTTTGGTTGGGTGGGGTGGCTATTTCCCTGCATGTTTTTTTTTTTGTTTTGTGTGTGTGCGTGTGCGGGGGGCATGGAGACGAGGTGCCCAAATATTATCCCAGTAAGTTCCCCCAAATTGTTGTTGTCAGGGCACCCCGGAATAGATATACCTCCAAGGGGTCTGCGGCAAGTTCTGTTGATTCCTTGGGCATCATCAGCGTTCCTAGGAAAGTAGGCACGTCTGAAAAACCAGGCGGGAAAGTAGTAGCCACCACACCAACAAAATCCAGGCAGGAAAATGGCCGCCCCACCAAACACGTTGCAGGAAAGTCATTGAAAAACCTGCCACCTGCCGTCTTCGATTTTTTGTTTTCTTGTTCACGGTTGTCTTTGTCTAGTGTGACGGAGAACGCTGCCACTTGGAAGTTTCAGACTGCCCCGTACGCCCGTACTCCCTTCTAGGCATGATGCATGTATCCGCAGTGTCCCTTTCCATTCTTTTCTTGCATGTGAGCCACAGATTTTCGACGTTCGTGTGTGAAAATCGTGGAGTCCACCTTACGGCTATCCCTGCAGATGCGGGCGCAATCCATCACGATCCCATCACGGAAACTTTGCACACATCCCTCCAGTACCACACAAATCCCTATATATCATCACCATGTGGAGCTGGCCGAGCAACATCTCCACGCGCACAGCACTCAACCATGTTGAGAACATGCCAACACGATGAACATCATTACACCTTCCCCTCAATCCGGTACTGATCCGCTGGCAAAAATGGCCAAACCAGCCCCAGCCCTTCACTGTCACAAGATCCTTGCCCCCTCAAGCTACTTCAGGAAGGGAGGACCTCAAAAAAGTAAGTTACATTTTAGGGTGGGCCCCCAGAAATTCTAAAAATGCAACTTACCGCCCCCCCAGGCACCATCGAAACGGGTAAAGGGGGGACGGGGAGGGTCCCCAAAACAGGTAACTTGTGGCCTGGCACGTGCTTATTTACATTTGACACCCAGGGCAAACGGCCAAGAAACAGGAACATACATGTTCCCACTCAAGGCCGCAAAGGAAGGCAACAAAGCGAAACCTAAACATAACAGAGGATCATCCACATGCTACGCAACAAAGGAGGGATCATTCTAATCTCGCACAGCTTCCTGTTCTATTGTGCAGGAGAACAATGATATTCAATGCTGCTTGATCCCCTGGTTGCTTGCCCCGCTTGCGCTTCGTGGAATCGCTGGGGTGTGATTTTCAGTATGCAACCATGCAACTAACTCCTCCTTGTAAATTCTGGGGGAGTTGGGCATGTGGCAAAAATGTAAGTTACAATTTGTGAGGTCAAACTTTCTCACACAACCCAGGCATTCCGTGCAAAATCTGGGGGTTTGGATGCGTGGACTAATTGTAAATTACACGTTTTGACGTCTGCAATGTCACCTTTTGCCTGCGCCATGAGACAGCAACACAAATCGGACAAACACAGGCTCAGGGGGGTCAAAAAATGTAAATTCATGTAAGTTATCTTTTTTGAGGCCACCTCAAAGTTAATGTAATTACATTTTCTGAGGCCCACCGCATAGGAAAATATAATTTACAATTTTCGACGTCCCCCCTCAGGAAAGGGTAGTGATGTCATAAGCCACCCCGCAACCGATTGTCTAACTTCCCATTCCTGCCACTCGTCAACTTCAGCTATCCACGGTTTCCACGCCACCGCTCTCCGTTGTGCATCAAACAGTCCAGACTGAAGCTCCAACTTTACAAGCTACTTGGGCACGCTACCGGCAGCCGGCTCCTGCTCCAGCCCGGCAAGCCACCCCGATTGGTGCTCCTATCCCCCTGCAGCAGGTTCCCTCACACACCATGCGTCAAGCACAGCAACCCCAGCCCATTTTAACTGCCTGCATTTGCAAGAGTACGACCCAGTCACGGACCCATGGCAGAATTGGGACCAACAAGCCTTCAAAAGTCTACTTGCTGCGCGCTGCCAGCTGCCGACATGCTGCGGCTTCAACACGCTGAGCCGGCGGCGAGCCTGAAGTCAGCGCCTCTTCCAGAGTGAGTCAGAGTGAGCGCCCAAACAGTGTGGGCACACTTAGGGGTTCTTACGGTAGTGGAATTGCACGCGTGCTTAGTTAGATCGCTGTTCCCCGCGGGCGTGCGCGGCTGATTCGCTTCTATTTACAGTGCATTCATGACTCTCGACATCGTTCATGTGCACCGCAGCCTCGCTGAATCTGGGTGTCCGCGGCGGGTGCTTCTAACGATTGCGCTCTCGTTGTGGCGCCGTGCACATTTTCGTACATGGTGGTGACTTTTCGTGGCAGGCGCGAGGGAAACCTCGTGCTTTGGTGCCCCAAAGTCGACTTTTCGTGAAAGGTGCAAGGGATCGG